ATACCTTCCATTATAAGATAAATTTTAATAGTATTTATGATAAGAAATAAAAATTGTTCGTTAATTATGATTAAATCAAAATTTGTGATACCTACCATTATAAATTGACACATCATACAACACAAATAAATTTTCGTAATAATACAAAACTCATCAAGTGAATTTTGTGTTAGTTTTTTGTCATTAATGGTCGGGTAATTTTTAGCTTAATTTCTAAAATCCTATGTTTAAATTTTTATTTGTAATTATTACTTACATTGTGTTAATTTGAGATACTTAACGATTATATATTTATGTTTTATTTCTAAAATTTTGTTTTTACATGCAAATCTAACGCATCATACGACACCAACAAAATTTCTTATCAATACAAAACCCTAACAAGCGAATTTTGTGTTAGTAAATTTGTATTAGTTTTAGGTCATTAATGTCCGGGTAATTTTAAAAATCTTGTGTTTAAATTTATACTTGTAATTATTACTTACATTGTATTTATGTGAGACACTTAACGATTATCTGTTTATGTTTTGTTTACTGAATTTTGTTTTTACATGCAGATCTAATTTAATTAGAGAAATAAATTCGAGCAAAAATGATTGAAAATCAAAGTACAAGTTTCTCGACTATTTGAAATGCTAAATTCCTGTAAACAACATAGCTTAAAAGTTTGGATATGGTCCTAATGAAAGAGGAGGTTTTTTTTTATTTTATATATATATATATATATATATATATATATATATATATATATATATATATATATATATATATAATGTTTAATTTACATTTATTATATATTTTTTATAAACCTTTTTAGTTTTTTATTAATAATTTTATTAAAAAATAAATAAAATTTGTAATTTAAGTGGCTTAATCAAGTTATTAAATTAACTTAATTTATTATTTTTAATTATAGGGTGATTACGTTCATGCCTCAATTAACACTAGATTTGTTCAACACTTTCATCCAAAATTGATTGAAGAAAAAGTTTACTTCTTTAGATATTTTTCAATCGTTCCAATCCAATGCCTTGATTTTTGTCATTATATTGATTTAATAAAAGTTCCATGCATGAATAAACACATGGATGAACCGCATTTTAATTGCAATTAGTGGTCTTGATCTCATTGATGCAATCCATATCATACTACTTTTGATTAAATATGTAATGGATGTATATTCTCCACGACATTGTAGACAAAATATAACAATGTGGAAGCTAGCTAATTGTTGACTAGCTTAGTTTAGTTACTAAGAAATTTTATGTTTAGCATTGTCAATAATATATGGTTGAAATTAATTTGTAAAGTACTAGATTTGATGTAACTATTCAAGTTAATTTTTGGCTTTTATACATATATTTAATGCAACTATTTCAAATTAATTTTAAAAAAAGTAAGAAGAAGCTAAGGCAAATGGCACACGATTTGATGTTGTATACTTGTTATATGGATGACTTTCATTATTATTGAAGATGATGAAAAAATTTCAATGCATAGATTTGATTTTATACAATTACAATTTTTTGATCAATTTCGCTACAATTTTCATTGATTAGTAAATATATTGATTTACTTTATATAAATGTAAAGATTTAATTTATATCAATTTTATTTTTTCTAACATAAACAATGAATAATGATTTAGGATTTAAATTATTTAAAAAATAAAAAAATTATCTTTTCACATTAAAGATTTCGGACATTGATGCTAGAACACAGTAGATAAATTTGATCGATTTGATTATCGCATAAAGGAAGAAGAAAGAGATCAAATATGGAGTATCATGCGTCAGGCACATGCAATTATGATGTGCAAATTTACGAAAGTGCCCCTAGGTGTACCCGGAGGAAGGTACACCCAGGTGTACAAAATAGGGGCCCTTTTATCTTAAAATGATAAAAAAAAATTACACCAATATAAATTCAATTATAATGAATAAAGTTGTATTATTACCGGTAGGTCTAAGTCCTAGTCTAACTAGAAGAGGAGCAAATCGTCTGCTCACTGAAGAAATTGCAATAAAAAAAAATTAAAATTAAACTCTTGTAATTTTGTCTGAAATTATTAAATACAATAAATCAAATAATTAAAAATCTTAGATGAAAAAACTGTGCATTGCACGGGCTTTCATCTAATAGATATAAATAAAGTAGACATTTTTGGAGAGCATTCGGAGCGCCACGTAAGAAATATACTTATTTCGACCAATAAGAAGAAAGATTTATATTTTATTTTTGAATTAACAAAATAATGTCGCCACCTAGATAAAAGTAACGAATTAGATTTGATATATCTAAAATTTTAATGCCACGTAGATTATAATCCATGAATTAAATTATTTTAATGAAAAAATAAAGTAAAAATATAGGAAAAGATAAATTTATTAATTCAATACTACGAGTATAAGAAATTCAAAAAAAATGTACTAAGAAATATTTAAATGATAAACGCTTATAATAAAGTTTAATACCTATCATTATAAGATAAATTTTGATAGTATTTATGATAAGAAATAAAAATTATTCGTTAATTATATTATATTAAAATTTATGACACCTACCATTATAAATTGACACATCATACGACACAAACAAAATTTGGTATCAATAAAAAACCCCATTAAGCGAATTTTGTGTTAATTTTTTTGTCATCAATGGTCGGGTAATTTTTAGCATAATTTTTAAAATCCTATGTTTAAATTAGTATTTCTAATTATTACTAACATTGTATTAATTTGGGATACTCAACAATTATATGTTTATGTTTTATTTACTAAATGTTTTTTTACATGTAGATCTAACACATCATACGACATAAATAAAATTTCGTATCAATACAAAACCCCATCAAGCGAATTTTTCTTAGTAATTTTGTGTTAGTTTTAGGTCATCAATGTCTGGATAATTTTTAAAATCTTATGTTTAAATTTATAATTGTAATTATTAGTTACATTGTATTTATTTAGGATACTTAACGATTATTTGTCCATGTAATGACATACAATTAGATGTTGTATACTTAATATATGGATGACTTTGGTTATTTTTGGAGATGATGAAAAAATTCCAATGCATAGATTTGATTTTATATCGCAACAATTTTTCATTTATTGGTAAATATATTGATTTATTTTACATAAATGTAAAGATTTAATTTATATCAATTTCAGTTTGACTAACATTTCACAGTTCAATTTATCCATTGATGCAGTAGGTTGGTTGTGGACGAGGTTGGTGATTTTATTGAAATAAAAGATATGGTACAACAATGAATAATGATTTAGAATTTAAATTATTAAAAATTTATCATTTCACATTAAAGATTTTATATAATGGAAAAATATCATATTTACAATTTATTTATATTTAATAACTTCATATAAATTATAGTAAAAAAAAATATTAAACTTTTGTAATTTTGTCTGAAATTATTAAATATAATAAATCAAATAATTAAAAATCTTAGATGAAAAAATCGTGCATCACACGAACTTTTATTTAATTAAATAAAAACGGAAGGAGTATTACATTTCTTAAAGTAATCCAAACTACTCTCTTCCAAAAATAGTGTTTATAAAGTCGTTAGAGTTGTTTGCGTATTTAAATTACTATACATTTTCTCTTTATCTCGAAATTTTTCTTTTACTTTAGTTTTTTCTTACAAGTTTGACTCGCTTAGGCAAATTCTGGGGTCGCTGGGTAAGAATGCAGAGAAGAAAAAATAAAAAATGAAGAAGCAAAAAAAAATGGTTCCGCCGAGTAAGACTGTGGAGAAGAAGCAAAACAGAATGGTTCCGCCGACTCAAAACTAAGAAGGAATGCCGCCTACTACTAAAAGACCGGTTTTTGCAAAAGTTACATTCTTCTATGCAAAAAGAAGACTTAAAAAGAACAAAGAAGTTTGGATCCGACGCTGAGCACAACAGAATGAAGTTGCTGAGTCGGTTTCTTTTGCTCAACCACTACTCATTGCTGTGTTGTCCCAACCCAAGGCGCGTCTCGTCGCGTGAAGGGTCTTATTTTGGGGGAAGGAAGGCTCGTTTTGGTTCATGAGCAGCGTGTTAATTTGATTCATTATTCTCAGCAATCTACTGAAGCAGCTTCAATCCTTGTTCAAACCGCTTATCCAATTTCTCATTTAGAGGTGACGAATTGATCTCCTGGTTCGACAGGACCTGATAAGAATGGATAGCTTTAGAAAGAAAACAGGGAAGGGGCCTTTATGACTAGTGAACGAATGCGCTGTTATGAGCTAACGAGTTTTCCTTTTTTTCTGCTGAACTCGGAGAAGAGGAGGTAGCGGTTCGTGCTTGAGTTGAATCACTTGACTTTGGCCCTATCTTTCTATTTAGATAAGTAGTAGATCCCCTTACCAGGAAATGAACTAGGTAAAAGCTATAGGCAGCCAATTGCGTCTATCATTGAAGGCAGCCAAGAGTCACTCAGGGCTTTATTCAGCTCGTTATAGTCCATTAGTGGGTCTAAGGCTAATCTTTCTTGTCCGGTAAGAAAGCAAGGGAGCCTCTGGCTTTGCCCCTTCGTCTTGCCACAGCTGTGATATAATCTGTCTATACCTTACTCGGTTCAGTCAGATTATTCAGTAAGATATGGTTTGATGTTTGAGGCTTCGCTTCACTGTTAGCTAGGTTCAGGTCTTTCCCCCTCCTAGTAGTCAGTCTGTTCTTTCGAGGTAAACGAGAGTCTACGTTTAGTTGAACGTAGCCCGCAGAAGTCAAGAGGTTGGTTATAAGGGCGACTTCCAGAGAAAATTAAGACGAGGGAAAAAAAATGAGCATTCCGGCGTTACGCGCCTTTTCAGTAAAGGAGCGAAAGGTTAGACCTTAGAAAGTCAGCGAACAACATAGGTACGCTCGCTTGTTGTCTTGTTCTCTGCCGCGAACTGGGATCGCTCGCCAGCTAGGTCAGATTGGAGCAACATAGTAGTAAACTATCGTTTCTAGGAAGCATGGAAAAAAACAAGTAATTGTAAAATAAAAATGAAGTAAGAATGAAGGAATAAAAAATAAATGAGTGTAAATAAAACGATATGTTTTGTTTGTTTACAACAGTCACAAACTTTGCTTTTGATATTAAAGGGAAGAAGGCCCCTCATTTTCAATTTCTGGTGGACAAGATATCGGAAAAGATAGTATCCTGGCTTCTCTGCATATCTCACAACCAGCAAAGCTAATACTTATCAATACAGTGTTGATGAGTATGACTGCTCATGTCATGAAGTGTTTTAAGTTGCCTCAAAGTATAGCTAACAAAATAGATTCTTTAATTGCGCGGTATTGGTGGGCGAAAAGTGGCCAGAAAGGAGTGCATTGTGTAGGCAGAAATGTCATACAACTTCCCAAAAGTATGGGTGGTTTGGGTATTCGAGGTACATCAGATTACAATAGTGCACTCGTCTTCAAACAAGCAATCAGGATGCATTTCAACCCCCAACTTCTTCTCTCCAGAGTCTATCGAGGTTTCCAAGATTGTGGTATTTGCAATATCGCTAAACCTTATATAAGAAGGGGAAATCCGTCGATGGGGAGGTCTAGCATCCAAAAGGTCAATGAATTTTTTAAGGAAAGGTTTGCTTGGAAAGTAGGGAATGGAAATAGTATCTCGGCAATCAGTATGCCATGGGTGCATGGGAATGTTCCAGTGGTCAAGTTGGGTCAAACCCTGAGGTTAGCTAGAAATTGGAAAGTCAGCGATTTTATTAACAAGGAGACCAAGAATTGGGATGCAGGGAAGGTGAGAGATTGTTTTGAGTGGGACTGGGCACGAGCAATCCTAGCACTGAACTTCCACAGGCTAGTGAGGATGACTTCACATATTGGAGATTTCATCCGTCAGGAAGGTATACAGTAAAAACAGGATACTACTTTTTATCAAAAGGCAAAGGGTTAGAGGATGCAAGGTTTTTGGAAAGGGAACATAACTTTATAAAGCTAATTTGGAGATTGGATATCCAACCAAAATGGAAATACTTTGTGTGGCGACTCTTCCATGATGGTATCGCGGTAAAAGTTAATTTAGCATGTAGGGGAATCCCTGTTGATACAGGGTGTGATCTTTGGAGGGTGGGTATTGAAGATTGCCAACACCTATTCAGGTTTTGCACTCAGGCAAGGGAAGTTTGGGAATCCGGCTTCCTGAATATTTGTCCTGACCAGCCGAATGCCACCTCTCTGAGAGGGTGGATTCAACACTATATCCTGCTTTTTTATAGCGAGGATGGTAAGCATGGGCGTTGTATGGTAGAGTTCATTGCGACACTTTAGGAACTTTGGAAAGCGAGAAATGAGAGATGTTTTAAGGGGATGGAGGGGTCTACTAGTTAGGTAAGCGTTTTTATTAACATTGCACTTCAGGACCATGATACTTTCTTCAACCATGGCAACAATGACTATGGGGGAGAGGTTAGGAGTGGTGAGGACCCAGTGTTTCCCCCGGGTTTTCACCTGGTCCAGCTAGGTAAAGAAGGAGATAAGCTGGATGGCTTTGTTGTGGAAGTTGATGGCTCTTGGGATAAAAACTCGACGAGAGCAGGGATAGAGTGGGCGGTTCAAACTCAAGGGCAGGGCCATGAGGTGGAGGAAGGGGGGAAACAGGATGCTGCAACGTCTGCTATCCAATGTGAAGCCTGGGATTGTCTGGAAGCCATGAGGTGGGCCCGATTACAAGGAAGAAATGGGATCCTAGTTCTGTCTGATTCTGTCACTTTGGTCAATAGCCTTCTGTACAAGGCAAATGAGGGGGTGTCGATAAAGTGGCTCATCAAGGAGATTAGGGAGATAGGATCGACCTTTCAACGATGCGCTATTTTAAAGGTCCTAAGGGAGCAAGTCCAAAAAGCTAATGATATAGCTAGGAAGTGCAGGATTACTCCATCCCTTCTGTTATAAGTGTTTTACTTGATTTTGCTTTTGTCAAAAAAAAAAAAAAAAAAAAACAACTTTGCTTTTACTAATTTTACTTATTTTTATATACTACGGAGTAGTAATTATAACATGGTCTATAAGTTTTAAAATGGCTCAAGGAATGAATGGAGCATTTACATTCTTATTACTTTCTTATGTTTTTTAAGTGTTATAGTTTGACTAAATATACATATTAAAAAGGATTTTCACCATTAGTTTTTCTAATTTTTTATTACAAAATTCTAACAATAATAAAAATACATTGTGACTAATCCAATACTCGTAATATATTATACAATAACTCGCATTTATTTTTTATATATATATATTATATTTGTAAAAATTTCACACGTGGAGTTTTGGTTCAAATAAACACCTCCCTACGAGTGATAGAGGAGATTGGATAGAATTCACAAGAATCAATAACTCAAATGGCATCTAACGTGTGAAAAAATGTTGTAAGATACAAACCTTTATAACGCATATTACTACGTGTATAGATGTATTCTTATTTAAAGTACAGTAATGTGCCACTCAAAACTACAATCAATAAAAATACGAATTACGAAGTATAAAGTATTCATAAAGAAAAAGAAAAAGAAAAATAAAAAGGTTGGTGACATAAGAAATATGAAAACCGTACCGACTCACATAGTTGGATGATTGAGGCATGAGTCACAAAGAAGATGCATTGGTTAGCAACACGTACAACAAGTTCCATCCTTGTTTACTTGTTTTGGTGGCGTCTTCACACACACCTTACTCATTGTGGCCTTTGCTTCTCTACCTCGTGAAAGTTGGTTTTCTTTTCTTTTTCTTTATATTTATATTGTTTTTAATATTCTAGAGTCTTTCTATTTCTATCACTGTACTAAAAATTTAGTAGTGGTAACGAGACACGTAAATCAAGTATAAGGATGTTGATGGGCTGATATGCTTGTGAACACTTTCGATTAAAAACTTGGTCAAAGCTCAATTTGAGCAGAGTTTTCAAGCTCATATAATCATGTGTTTGACTCGTTTATGCTCGCAAACAACTTATTTGAGTGTTTGTTCCTATTTAAATATGAGTTTGTTTATAGTCCTTTGGGAAGGGGAAGAGTAACGAAATTCCTACCTCAAAGTGTCTCTAATGAGGTTTGATTTTACAATTTTTTGGCTGTAAGATGACAACCCTTACTAGACCACTCTAATGTACTTATATAATATATTGCGTCCCCTTTTTTTTTTTTTACTCCCTTCGTGTTTAAATAAATAAAATGTTTTGACTTTTACGGAGTTTTAGGAAGGTTTGTTGAATTTATTAAAATAATAGATAGCGGGGTATAAGTTTGGGAGAGAGAGAGAAGAGAATAAGGGGTTTTGTGAGGACCATTATTTATTAGAATATTATTAAAAAATAAAGAAAAATTATTAAAAATATAGAGAAGTTACAAAAAGGAAACTTTTTATTTTTTTTGTAAAACATGTTCGAAAAGGAAAATATTTCATTTATTTAAACACAGAGGGAGTAATATAAATCAAATCCAATAACTTTACATTAAACTAGAGGTGTTAACTGACCCGACTCGAACAAAACCCAATTCAGATTTCGATTTATATGGATTATATGTATGTACGTAGCAAATTTAGCATGATTCAAATTTGAAATAGATCAAACTCGACCCCATCTCACCGAACCTGACCCAATTTCTCGTATTGACACCTTTACATCAAACAACTCAATTTTATGCGACCCACTTATAATTTTCTTAAATTATTATATATGTGCCAAAACTAGCATGCATGCATGACATATTAAGCTCTTTTAGGGGCTGTTTGGTTAGCGTTAATAGTCAAAGGGAATGAGAATGAACATGCCTCATTCCTTTTGTCGCTGTTTGTTTGTCACTTTTTTCATTCCCTTTATCCATGTTTATTTTTAAGTTTACCCAAAATTATTCTACATTGATTCTCCACCCCCTATTCTTTTTCATTCCCTTTCCCTAGCTACTACTAAACCACCATACCCACACCAGCCACTACCCTTCTACCTTACCCCCCACCGCCTAGCCACATTGCTGGAACTCGCCGCACCTCCGTCCCCCACTCCTCACTATAACTCGCCGCACCTTCCCCACTCCTCACTAGAACTCGCCATACCTCCTCCCTTTCTCCTCCCCTGAAATATCTCCCTTCCCCGAAAAACCTTCCCCCCACCCATGCAAAACCCTAGAAAACCATCCCCCGCCCCTTAAAACTGTCGGTTATCTTTCCCCCCCCACCCTCGAAACCCTAGCTGTCTATTTGGGTCGGGTATATTCGGTTCAAAATTACCCCCCTTAACCCGCCTCGGGTCGGATAAGGTCACTTTCGGGTCGAATCAAATTCAAGTCAAGATCTTCCAGGTTTAGGTTGGGTCAACTTTAGATCGGTTCATATTCGTTTAAGATAAATTCGGATCCTGTTCAAAACAGGTTTGACCGGGTTAATTTCGAGTCGAATGACTTTGGATCAGGTTGGTTCCGGTTCGATTGATTTCGGTTATGTTAAGTTCGATTTGATTACTAAGGTTGATTCATTATTCGGTCAATTCTAATTTAGATACTTTTCGTGTTTGGCTGAATTTTGGTTGGGTTGACCATATTTAATAATCAAATAAGCATTTTTAAATCTAGAGTAATTATCGAGGTTTTTTTATCTTGTTATTGGTCGACATCAAGTCAGCCATGTGTCATTTTTCCATACCGTGACATTAATACTATATGTTAAAAAAAAAAAGAAAAAGGTAAATAATAGGATGGGTTTAAAAATATGGTTGGTTTGAAATCATGTTGAGTCAAAATCAGGTCAATATCAATTCGGATTAAAAACAGATCAGATTGAATCGGGTATTTGTCAGGTTAATTTCAATTTGGATTAAGTTCAGTTCGGGTCAAAAAACCGGTTCGGTTTGAGTTCAAGTCGGATCAAATCGGTTTGGGGTTCAGTTCAAGTTGGTTTAAATCGATGCCGGGTTAAGTTCAAATTGGGTCAAATTCGGATTCAGGTTGAATTCTGTTCGATTAGAAATCAAGTTTGAGTCTTGAATTTCTCGAATCAAATCGGATCGATTACAGTTCGACTCTTACTGTACTTGTTTAAGCCATCTTATACACCCACATTCTCGCTTCCACTTGGACTGAAACATGGTAGACAAATGCTTACGAGAGGCCTTGATTGTTGGCCCCTCAGCCCTCTGGCAAAAGAATTTTAAAGACATTATATATATTGAGGCAACAAAGAGACAATGAAAATACTTGATATAGTCGTATGTCTTTTTAAAAAGGTTCAACCGAAAATTGTTCGCTATTTCAAAATAAATGCAACGAAGGTTAGTAGTTTGGAGGGGATATGTGGATATAATGGGTATAGAGGTCTCAAAACCACACTTGACCCGATCCGAAATCGATTTAAAAAATATCCGATTTAGATTTGGATTCGCGTGGACACAATAATTTAACATGACCTAATTTTAAAAATTGACCCGATCTGACCCGACCTCATCAGATCCAATTCGATCATCCGAATTGACATCTCTAGGTGGATAGTACAAGTTTGGGAGGAAATTTGGCCCCATGGGCAAATCATATAGAGTACTTCATACTCGTTATGAGCAAAACAATGACATCTCCTACTTATTTACGAAAAATATCTAATTTGGTGGTTCTGCCAAGCGAAGCAACCATTAAATGTTGTTTTGTTAAAAAAATTTAAGGTCATTTTCACCAAAATCTCTCTTTCTTTCTTTCTTTTTTTCTTTTTTTTTCTACTTAATTTTTTTGGAAGCTTAAAAGGCATAATCAATAATAAATTTAATTTTCAATTGATTTTACTCGGTGATACCAATAAACTATATACTCGTACAAGTAAAATCCAACTGTAGTGCTACTCGATCTTGGGTTTAGGCAAATAGTTGGATTTAAGGTTTTGGTCTATCTATTAGGTAAGGAGGACTCGTACTATCAATCGTCAAGCTTTATCTAGAACCCATTTTAGTGTTTTTGTGTGTATGCAAACTATCTTTCTTAGTTAACGTTCTTGGGGTGGTGCATATCGCATAAGATTTGAGATGAAGGTTATTTTCATATTTTCCTTTTGATTGACATTTAAAAATAGAATAAGATGTGGCAAGCTTTTCAAGAGTTGATAATGTTTTGATAACAAAAAACACTATAGTTTTATTTCCTAGGAAATTATAAAACAAGGAATTAGGATTATACTAGTAGGGTTTTATGTAAGAAAAGTTTACTCTACATGACCAAGCAAAAGTTTTTTTTTATATTAATTTTTTTTTTATTTTTTTTAAGCACATTATAGTTATAGAAAACAAAACTACTTAGATTATATATTAAATAATATTACAATTTTTTTTTATGTTCAACCAAATGATTACTAATATGTAGTATTTGTTTTTTATAACTTTTAATTAAGACTTACTCTCTCCGTTTTTAAATACTTGTTCCATTTCTCTATGCGCTGAGTTTTAGGAGAAATTGGAGAAAGTAATAAAGTATAGAGGTAGTGAGGTAGGGGGAAGAATAAAAAATTATAAAAAGCAAAAGTAGCTGAGAGAATTGGAGAAAAAAGAATATAAAATTAACAAAATATGATTTATGTTAGGTCCATAGATGAGAGAAATGAATTAAATATTGTAAAAGATTTCCAAATAAGGAAATAGAGCAAGTATTTAAAAACGGCCGAAAAAAAAATAGTGAAGCAAGTATTTAAAAATGGAGGGAGTATTCCCTATTCAGTCGGACAAATTGATTATTATATACATAGTACAATCAAAGATAGAAATTCAACTTACCCCTTTCGCTCAAAAAAGAGCGGTGCCAGTGTGCCACTTTGATGTTGCCATAAATATCTAAATTACCATTATGGGATTTATGGCTACCACGATACCCGTACGTTTAGTATTACATAACGATGTTAATTGGTAGAAGAATGGTCCAACCCTAGAA